CATCCTACCAGGAAGTATATCACAACTGATTGAGTCACGTGATCAAATGTGGAACTTTCTAATTCTTCTCATTTATATAGACGATGACATCTTTGCTAGCCAAGTGTCCAATTCGTTTCCCTCATCGGGGAAGCGAATCGGACACTTGGCTAGCCAAGATGAGACGATGACAGAAAAAGAGGTATGATAGTATTGTGTAGCTTTCTTCTGAAACCGTCTATGTAGACAAAAGAAGTACATTCGTTTTGTATACACATTTCATAAGAAAACAATCTAGTAATTAACAAAAAGCCTTTGATCTTTATGTACGCTGTTCATATACCACACAGCATCTTTTGCAGATGACCACAACTGATAAAGATTGACCACGATATTACCTGACCTACCTAACTCTTACCGCCAAGTTCCTTTCTTCCTAGAAACCATTGTGTCTACATGTCTGTCACAATTATGTACGGAGTCAAGAACTATTTCTGTTGTGTCCATTGATATAGAAAAACTTCTGAAGTTCCGTAAAGTGGCCAATCAAATTACCATGTATTATTAATTACTGGCGCACTTTTATGCTCAACCACCATACAGGACTGGTCAATATCATGTGTGTTGTACGAGTCAAAATATTTCATTGTCAATCCATTAATTTAATTGTTCACTTCTATCTACAAATCCTTGGTATTTTTGTCCAACTCGTGATAATGACTTATTCAGAACGTCCATGCTTGAGAAGAAAATATCTATACACTTCATTACCGTTTCTTATCAGGAAGTTTTAATATCACATAATCCCAGATCGACAATTGAAGAAAAATCATTTCATCTGGATTTGCAGAGTCAAGGAATTATTATTTCTAAAACGAATGCATTAGTTTTAAAATTGTATGCTTTTAACGTTGTCTCAGCTCTAGAAAAGACCTGTAATTGCTTGCATTAGACTTTCTGTTGCCTGACTCTCGTCGACATGTCTAAGAATCCAAGATGCAATGAACTTTGGATATGGTGTTAAGTGCATGCATTTAATTCCTTTGATTCATCATCGATCGAAATTGCTCTTTTTCCATTTGATAAATTTTAGTATCAATTCGTTCTTCATTATAATTCATCTTCCTAGAATTGATTATATATGTTCGTTTCGTGTTTTTGTTTTTTTCAGGCGACAGTACTAAGTGTTTCCAGACTGTTTTGGGGAATACTCAAAATTTCAGAGTTGTATAAAGAAAAGGAATATTAATGAATTACATTTTTGTCAACGTGAAATGTTGTGCATTGTTTGAACAAATTACTCTTTTATCCGTCTTTGTAACCAATTTTTTAAATAAAATGATAAAAAAAAAAAAGGATTTTTAACCCTTGCTTTTCCCTTGTGTGAGAACAATCAAGATTGAAGCAATGCAATCTCGTGCAAAAGCTGAGTTCCTATATTATGTCTGCTGCATAGGTTATGTTTGCTCCCAGAATAGAGATCACAGTTAGGGTAAATAAAGAAGAAAATCCAAAGTTAAAAAAATGAAAAGAAGCATTAAAATTGCATAATCTTGTTACATTTCTTATTATATCATTTGGTATTTCTTGTCTTATACAACTAGAAGTTGCGGGTAAACGGTGTCATACAAACTGCGGACAGATGAATTAGTCAGTTTTGCACCAAACTCACTATAAAAATTAAGTTTCATTCATAATTTTGCGTTTCGTTTCTCCTGAGGTTTGACTTAGCAAAATCATGCAATACTTTAATCAATATTTCGGTATGTTAAAGAATTAATGTCTGATGGACGATTTTTATGGGAAATGACAAGCTGGTGTCAATTTCAATGTCAATTTTCAACGGATATGAATCTGCTCATGACATGGACACTATGAATAAATTTCAATGTAACTTGGTATAAATGTAGCATGGATATGAGATCTATGTCCGCCTGGCGGGATATAACGTATGTTGCTTTGTTGATATCCCAGAACAAAATGCCAAAGGGTGAAGATGTTTTGGTCAAGAGTATCATCTTATCAGGGATTTTAAATGTGTAACGATATTCTTCCCACCGAGGGTACGATATGTGTTATATCTACCTAGATTAACATGTAAAGATTGTATAATCATGTAAATCAAGGACTGTAGATCTTAATCACACTATACTTCATTAAACATATCCCATTAAGCCTTCTCCTTGATTTAACGCTCAGTATGTATATATAGGAATGCTTGATCGAAAGTTCACCTTTGCCTTTGGAACCTTATAAAATTCAGCAGGTGTCTGGGGGCATTGACAAAGTGTGAAACATTATAATTTCTGTACACTTTATTGTTATTTCTCTAATAAAAAGGATTATCCTTCTAAATGTGAACGAAACGTTAATTCCTTTACACATATTAAATTTACACCTGAACTTTGATTTTATGTAAATTGCTAGAGGCACTTGTCATCAATACGAAAACTATAGATGAAATAAGTGAGTACAAGGATAAATTTACTTAACTGTGGCAGTGTGTGAAAGTGTTTGTTTTATATAAGGTGTGTTCCTTCTTTGTATATAGACTTTCTTACGTATTTCAGTCCAATCGACTAAAATGTCATTGATACCTACGCATGTATATTCAGGAAATTAATACTTATTTACAAATATCCTCTTCCGCTAAGTATGTAAATTTTTTGCTTTACTGGCTAGCGTATGACATATGTAAGACGCTTTATCATTCTTGGGTAAACATTTGGATTTCGGGTTAAGATTCAATACATGCTCTCCTCGGAACAAACAAGCCATTTGCGAATGTAGATGTAAGTTTGGTTAGTTATTAATTTGGATTTAGTTTGATTGACCGAGAGATTTAAAGGGCAAAGGCATTTAGTACTGTGAAATTCCCCTAAATGTGAGAAAACAAGACAGACACTTCGAAATGTCATGTAATTTACGCGTGCTTTTTATCAGTGCATGAAACTTTTTCAACGTAGACGCGTGGGTAGACCATCAAATTAAAGTAGATCATAAAGGTAAACGTGGGTAATTGTTTTTCTTGACTAATTGTCTTATTTTTATGATCAATAAAAATAGTGATTTTTTTTTTCAAATAAAAAAAATTGGTCGGGAGAAATCTTTTGCACAAGGATGCAAAATGAACTTAAATATTTGTTTATGTCAAAATCTCTTAGAAATAATTTTAAATAGCGCTCCTAGTAGAGGCTTAGTTTATCTTATCACAATCAAGAACGAAAATTGTCGAAAATTTTATACATAAAAATGGTACATATTAAAGTTCCATTGGTGCTTTCAATAATCGTACCACAGTTGCAATTTTGTATATTTTACAAAAAAAAAAAAATATCATCATTATAATCTGCCATTTTACTTATAAAATATTGCAGAATATTGCAAATTAATTGATTTATTTTGAATGTAGAGAGTTTATTTCGTTTATGTTTTTTTTTAAAGATAATATACTATTACTTGTGTTGTTTTACTCTATTTCTGGGTGTGATATAATTTTTTTAAGGTCGTCTCTGGTCTCTTCATGTTTTCAATGAAAACTCGTCTCTGGTTCAAATGAAAACTCGCTTATCGTGATTGTAGCTTGATAACTTTTTATAAATGGATGCACCGTTTGCATTCTTCTCGCTAAACCTATTCATAAAAGACTAAATGAAGGATAAGATATTGCATTACACGGCGTGCAAAATTATTTCATTCCTTGGCAATTTACAATGTGTTGCTACTGTGGTCGTGGTGCTTTAATTCTGAAAGTATTTTAAACTTTTGGTTTAATTTTTCACATTTCCGTTTTATTTAAAAAAAGATTAAAATTGCCAGTAAAATTATTTTAAATTGGTTTGTCACGCCACATCGCAAGCAGAATGATATAATCGCTGACTCACATTTGCCATTATTATGTCAATACAAGATATTTTTAGAATCTTAACAAAATTCGATTCAATGGAATTATTTGACAAAGAGAAAAAAAGAATGCTCTTTAAAATTTTATTTCGGTGAATTCAATAGTTGAGCTAATTTTAAAAGTCTGCCCTTTAAGAAATGCACTGTAGTATTTAAATTGAAAATTATTATTTTGGTTAACTTTTTATGGGCATCTCACGTAAGTAAAAGAAAATTGAAAATTCCATTGCTGCAGAGCATGCATCGAAGATTTTGCCAAATGATGAAAGGTTCACTGTAACAGTTAATGTAATTTTATCTCGTGTTCATATTTATGATAAATCAAATTTACACATTCTTTGTACACATATTTTAAAAATTATTTAATTTTCCTTCTTAAAAATCAGCTTTATCAATTCTGTATACTTTGGTTATATAACCGATTTATTTGCTCTTAGCACATGGACTTCCGTTTTTCTTTAAACAATGAACTTTTTCGTACATGTTTATCACTAAATATTGAAAGGACAAAAAAAAATTGCTAATTAGATCGACATATAAGCTTGATCAATTGATAGCATTGTAATATAAGAGATCGTCATTAAAAAAGAAATCTTCCTTTAAGGTGGGGAAGTGGATTCATTCATGCCTAAGCATTTAATAAAGGAAATAATTACTATACTTATTGAAATTTCTTTCTTATACATACAGTGTTTATTTTTCTTTTTAAAAAGAATATTTTCTTTTCTAAAAGACCGAATTTGTTAACATTAGACTTAATATTGGGTTTTGATAAACTTTATGCAAACTAGAAAAAATACTTTAACCAACATTTTTACTTGATGGAAAGATTTTAAAACGAAAAAAATGTATCGAAGAAATCTACTCTGGGGTAATATTATGGCGTGATTGAAAACTTGCTTCAAATATTATTTGCATAGGGATATTGAAATACGATATATGTCATGCCATAATTCATTTTTCATTGAATACAAGCTTTTTAGGCATTCTTTAATGAATCCATATACTCATCGAAGCGTGTCACTGAGCCAGATCTCAGTCGCAAGCTTTCAAAAAATTCAGATCGACACGAAATTGATGAATAACGAACACTTTGTTCAATTCGCATACTTGACACACATCAAATAGGAATGGCGGAATTCTCGATATAAAAAAAAGACAACTTTGTCCTTTCATTTTTTTTATTACCATGAAAATTAATGTCAAGTAGATATGTCATCAATAAATATATTTAAAAAAAACAGATTGTCCTTGTGTAGATATACTAAATTGTACGTCTTAATGGATTTCCATCGTGTTTTTGACAGTTTAAAAGAGTTTTGACACTGGTACTATATATTATACCAAACAATTACTATCAGACATATAACTCTGATTTGGCTAACCATAGAAATGCATTGCTCGAGGCATACAAAAAATTTATCTTCAATTATATTTTAAATTGATTTTGAAGTACAAACTACACCTCTTCCACATACTGAACTTTATATTCAGTCTGTAATATCACAATGTTTAAAATACTTAGAAATACACCGACATCCCATCCCCCAAACAGATTGTATGCAGAAAGATTTTTTTAAAAAGATAAAGGTACGTTGTTAATGGGTTAGGGACTAGTTTTGGGTAAATAAATCTGAGACTATTACTAACGTATCACATTTTGCCACTAGCTTAAAAACCTTATTCATTTGACAATTGATCTCGGACAACCCTACAAACAATTCCTGATTATGATATTTGACAATATTTGTCCTCACTAACGATGGAAATCGTTTTCATTTTATTTCGAATGAATCAATATTCATATACCATCAATAGCTCATTTTAAAGGGTAATTTATTTTCACCATAGACACGAACTCGTACAAAAATTTACAGAATGGAAATTTTAAGCAATCAATTCGCTAAACACTGTTGTTTTGACTTAATATAAAACCTAAACAGAATTTGTTACGTCTGGCTGTTAGCGTACATGTATCTATAAGCCCCTGGCCATTTGTGATATTCTTTTTCTATTTCAATGAGTACTCTTAACAACAAACAAAAGAAATCGGTGGCAAATGATTTGTTTGTATGCTACGGTCGATTGGGAACAAAAAATGATGGCACGTAAACGAAATTCATAAGGCATCTTAAAGAATATCAGAAATTTCATATCAGTTCATCTACAAAATATACAAGAAAAGTTTCCCAACATCGGGAGAAAATATCTCACTTTGTCGGTAGCTCTGTCACCGAGTTTGATTTTGTCTGCATTTGATTAATGTAAATCTAGCACTGTTATAACAGGGAGCTAGTTCGTCTCCATTGGCACTGTTCAAGGCATCAAAATTCCACACAATTTGTTGCAAATTAGAAAAAAAAAGTTTAAGTAAATTTCTTTTATCAACTATCAGTATACAGAAAAACTTTTTTCGATTTCGGTGCCATGTTGGTAAATAATAGGTAAATCTTTTTGAAAACTGATGACCCGTTTCATCTTTTGACAAAATTTTAACGAGCATATTAAAAGGGAACAGTTAAATGCGGGTTGGTATTAATTTTTGTGGACATAAGAGATTTATTGATTTTTCACAAGTCGGAACAATCTTTAAATGGTATTGATAGCCAAGAACAGTATTATAATTTCAGTAAAAAAAAAAAAAGAAAACATCATTCGATCAGCCTTAGCAAACTATTAAAACTATTCTGACTTGGATTACACACATATATACATATATAGAAATCCGAACATAAAACTTGCAAAACAAATGAATCACAGCTCTTTGCAACGGATCTGATACCAATAATATCAGTTTTAACGAGTTAAGAAAATCGAGCACACCTTTGACCCCTTCAATCACTTTTATCACGTGTGACTAAAGAGGCGTGGCCTCTGCACATAAAGGTTCTTTGCAGTCCCTTCTGTTCCCGTTTTCTATTGAATGCATAATATACTCCGATTTTGGAATTAGAGATTTGGTTGTTGACCTACTACTCTGTGCATAACTATTGCGTTTAGGTCTCACACATTTACACGAGTCGGGAAATAGGATCTTTCGGAAAGCGTTCCTAAATTCTTTGTTAAAGATACTGTAAATGATTGGGTTTAAGCATGAATTCACATATCCCAGCCAAGTTAAAATTTTAAACATCACTATAGGAACACACTTACAGAATGCTTCCACCAGATTCATCACAAAGAAAGGCATCCAACACAAGAGAAAAACACCCATAATAATTCCCAAAGTCACGGCTGCCTTGTGGTCTTTGGACCCCGACCCCCCTCCTTTACCGCCGTTTGGCATGTGAAAACTTGTCTTGCGTATTTCTTTGACATGGCTTCTTGCGGCACAGTATAACTGCATATAAATAATAAGCATTATAATACAAGGTAAGTAGAAGCTAATGGTTGATGATACCACAGAGTAGACGGGGTTGAGATCCATCAAACAAACGTTTTCTGGAATAGGTTTGTATCGGTCCTCCGCATTGCGATGCCACTGCAAGTGAATTGGTAAAAAGGACAAAGTCAAGGACGAAATCCACACGGTGGATATAATGATGACCATCATTTTCTTGGTCATAAAAGTTTTATATTTGTACGGATCTTTTATATGAATGTATCTGTCCAGACTTATGGCGCACAAATTTAATATTGATGCTGTAGAACAATTAATATCGGAAGAAATCCATATATTGCAGAAGACTGGTCCAAAAACCCACTTGTTCAAAATGTCGTTGACAACTGCAAATGTCATCACTAACAAAGCCATTAGCAGATCTGCTATAGCTAAAGAGACTATGAAAGCATATGTCCTATGTCTGAGTCTTCTATCCTTAAACACAGCCACACACACGAGCACATTTCCAAAAACAGCCGCAAAAATGAACAGAGACAGAATTGTACCAATTATGATGCTCTCTGCTAAAGTGTAGGCCTCCCCGGCCGCCTCTTCTTTCTCTAACGACTCCGTGGTGTTGTTTATGCTAGTAACATTGCCCAACAATTCGTAAGCTACAGCAACGGTTGTTGAATTCAAATTAAACGAAGTAAAATTTGTTACCATATTCAATCAAAGATTTGAAATTGGACGTCTCCTGGTTTGGCATTGGCAGTTGCACACTCACTTGATTAAATTCTTGAGCAAACATTGAAGAATTCAGCCCATTCCCTGCAATGTTCCGGTCCTTTTGGTCTATGCTGTTTGGCACCGGTAGAATACGGTGTTAAGCTTTTGTTCCCCTTCTTCTTCAAGTGTTAGTTTGGCAAACATTTAGCGACTTTAGATCGATCCCGAATTTTCGTTTGGCGAGGAGTTTGGAACAAACACTTCTGTGTATATTCGATAAATATCCTTAAACTTACATACCAAGTTTCATATTCACAAACTTTCGTGTTGTCAAATATGTATGAGCACAGAGAAAAGGCTCAACTTTTTTTAACATCCAGAATAGATGAGGAATTCTTTCTAAGTTGATTTGTTTATTTTTTTATAGTTAATTAAGCACCTGTGTAATTTCCCTTTTTCAACACACGGATGTTAACCATCGTATGATCCAAGTTAAAAATACAACAGCACATTTAAATCACAGTGAATGAAAACGTTCTCATTTTATTTATATTTTCATTTACACTTGAATCTAATAGAAAAAATTCTCCTAAGTAACGCTAGTTCTTCGCTGGTTATAAGGAGAATGAAATGATATCCCTCCTTTCGTGTTTAAAAATAATGAGAATTTAATCCGTTTCATCAACAATCTAACGTGATTCTTTTTCATTCCACTGAATTGTAAAGTTTTCTTAAGCGTTTACCTGTTTTCTCACACACAACAAATTATTATTTGAACTTGTGCTGTTTACCTACACCCCGTAGGCCTTTACGCGCATGCTCAGTTCAAACAGACAAATAGCAGCATAACTTATTGTGCTGAGGTCCGTCCTTCCCTGTTTTTCTTTATAGATTCCGATGTCGAATTGAATCGCGGGCAATCACAAGCTATAGGAGAAAGAAAAGCAGTGCAGTATGGTCTGCTGTGATACATCAATGCCTTACAGATCGTTAAAGGGGCAGATGGCGCATTTGAGTGTATGCAAGAGGACGGAAAATCAACATGTCTTGGGACAAATTAGCATTATTCACAGCGTAAATAATTGATGTTTTATTCATATTTATTCAATCTCAATTGATATTCTAATAATAAGTTTCTCATAAGCTAGTATCGGAAAAGGAAGTACTTCATAAATTCACAAGTGATTCCGGAGAGTGGAATCAATGCATTCTTGTGAACTATAAATAAAAAAAAAATACAGTTACAGATACATGTACTTCCTGATATAAATTAGATTTTATTTCCCTTATATGTTAAAAATGAATTATAGTTAATTTGATTAATGACTTGTTTCATTTTTTTCCCCCACAATTTCTCTCTTGTCCTGCCTAGGTCATCCCGACATTTCGACTGATTCAGCCACTTGAAAAGGATTTTCAGGTAACAACATAAAAATGCTTCTACATGTTCGATGATCGAATCTGTCAATAGTAGACCCAGATATTCTGTGTGCACAACGCTGTCATTTTTGTTCTATAATATTGAGGTTCTACCATCCAGGTACACAAATTTCAATTAAGGAATAAAACGACCATTATGAGTCGGTTGAAAAGAAGTGCTTTTCAATTATGTCGGTGTATTTAAGATGGCCAGCATGTGTATTTGCTTTCAATGCGATACTTTATCTTTCTTTAACAACTGCAAAATGGCTAACAATTTGGGTAGGCTGTCCGAATAATTCCTTAAAGTTAAATAAAATTCAGATAAGATCTTCTGTTTAAAACCACTATTGATTTTTTCCCCAGACTTGACTGATAGGCAATTGCAGATTTTTAATTCTATTAGTTTTCTTGATGATTCTAGTACTCTGAGAAATCAGAAACAATTTTGAAAAACTATTTACCATTGAAATTATTGATGAAACTTTAAAGAGTAAGTTTATCACAAAACACAGAAGCATTGGATTTTGTTCTCCTATTACAGTCATCTTCTGTTGCTGACTTGATAAATATTTATGTAACAGAACGCACAATTAATTTTGTTTGAATTACATAAAGACTCGACACAGTGATAAAATTCTCATAAACAATCGACTTCAGAGAACTCACGGCTGACTGCTTTAACAGCTATTACTTTCACGCAACATGCTTGTAATATAAATGCATGTTATTGCATGCTGTTTAGGTACAATATGGTTTTCTTCTTCTCTAAAAAAAAAAAAAGATTTTCATTGCTTGAATCATTAACAATAAAATTTATGAGTTTTGCAATGTTTTACAGTCTTTATATTTGGGTAACTAATTAAGACAGACATTTAAATTTAGAATTAATGACTTAAAAATTTTGAGCAACTGCAATGGCTTATAATGTTCGAAAATGTCGGCAGGTCAGAGAAAATTGATTTTTTTGACAATCTGATAAATGCATTTTCTGCAGATTTAGACAAAGTAAAACATTTACTTAGCATATAATCTGAGCGTTGTTTAAAATGATCGATCTATAAAGATGCTTTGATACAGCTAATGCAGAGTTTTTATGGGGTCATTTGAATCACTCTAGTGACCAATCAATTGCTCTTAGTTCTTGTCTGTCGTAGAACGTCGCTTTTTTGATCGTTCAACATTGTGCGTCTCCGTACATGTGTGCTATATTTTGATGTATAAAGATGGTACACTTCATCTAAAACAAGTTTGGATAAACAAAACATCTACGTGAATATATGTTTAGTGATTTTTGTGCATTTTTCTTTGAATTATACAAGATTCTTCATCAATTGCTATCTTTTCAAAACTCTCGTTATACATGCTGATTTTTTGTCTACGAATATCTTAAGACACTATAACTTAATTAAGAATATATGAAAACAAATATTAGTAGGTAAGGTACGTTGCGTATATTCCTTTACTAAAACACCAGTTATATGTTTTACTGTTTTCAGTCTTCTATGTACAAATTGGGTCGAAGCATTCATGCCTTATTAAAACACCCTACCTTTAAAAAGAATTCATGGTATAATTGGAATCAGCAACAGGAGATACATCAAATCTTGAAAAATTCATTAACTACTGTATTTAGTGTTTTAAGCCAATCCTGCAATCGGTGTTGAATTGGTGATGGATTAAATGAAATTACTCCAGGAATGAAACTTACTTCTTCACTCTTGTCTGTATATTAATTAATAGTAAGCAATGAATAATTTTTCTTTTCCAGTACTTAAAGTGCATGTTAATTTGGTCCAGAGTGAAGATTATATAATAGGTTTAAGTTGTAGGAGTAAATAAATATGTAAAAAGTGTTAGATTCATAAAAGTAGAATACTTTGCGCATTGATCAAGAGGAATGAGTTATGCTCACAATTTTTGCAAAACGTTGTAGGTGCATGACCATCATTAAAATATATCATATGTATACGCGTGTATTTTCAAAGTGCATGAAAAAAGGTAAAGATAAAAAACGGCGAACGATCTCATAAAAACTACAAACGATACAACTCTGTTAATTTGGTATTACAAAATTCAGAGTGGGATCAGGTGCCCAGGAAGAATAACTATCCCCTGCAGACCGGTCACACCCGCCGGGAGCTCTAAGTATTGTTTGAGTGGAGGAAACATTCCGTAGTCAAATTCAGTAAAAATAAAAAGAAGCTTCACAAATGGTATGAAACAAGTTAGAAAAAACTGTGACAGGTTATTTACTAATAAGTTTATAATGACGACCATAGAATTTACGAAATACTGACTTAAAACTTACGTGAGAGTAGCATGTCTCGGTTTAAAAACTGGATAGAGCATGATCTTGATTAACAAATACGGTGGGAGACATCCACACTATGTTTAGGTGATAGCGGAAATTACTTGATAAATAAGGAAGTTGACGATGGTAAAGTTGAAATCATCTCGTTTGTCATACATTTTAGTGGTTTGTTCGTTTAAAGTCAGTAAAACATTCAATTATGAACTAGAGGTACTGTGAGCGATGAGCTCACTAAATGATACCCCCCGCCTCCCATATGGTTATAACTGGTGAAAAAAGCCATGTTTTCCTGTGGCCGGGAAACCCAAAATATGTGTCGGATCAAAAAGTAAAATAGGAGGTGCGCAATGGCAATATGTAATAAAGATTCGGTGAAAGTTGCATCAAATTTCATTCAGTGGTATGAGAGGAGTTGCGGATAAGAGAGAAAAGCGTAACAGACGGACGGACAGACAGACGGACGGACGGACGTACAGACGGACGGACAGACGGACGGACGGAATTAACGATTACTATATACCCTCCCGCTTTTCAAGCGGGGGGTATAATGAGTATTTATTGATAAAATGCCGTCAATTTCTCATGTTCATGAGAGAAGAAAATTTTATAAAGTTTATTTACATGATAAAATGAGTTTTTAAAATACATGTGTATGACAAGCCTAGCTCCACATTCTGAAGCGTTAATGTGGTTAATAAATCGACCAAATCATGAAATTCTTGTAAGGCCAAGGCTACTGGGGGAATGATTAAGAAATAAAGTTTGTTTTGCTAGCCTATTTAATTTGTCGCAGAGAATTGTTAGATTTTTTCACACAATAGGGATATACAAAGATGGAAATGTTCTTTATGTGTAGAAAATTTTCACAAAGTCCATGCAATTTTGTGTTTTTTATGTACATTGATAATTTATTTATAACAGAGCAATGATATTTTCAGAGAAAACTTCAGCTGGCGGAACCCTTCTTCGTGTTTATATATATGTAACGTATTTTATAAGGCAGCCTAGAATAACTGGGAAAACATATTCATATTTACTAGTATAATATTCCGTCTACGTAGATTGATAATAAAATTTTTACGACTTATAAATTGTTTAAAAGCTTTGCTGGATGTAAAACTAGATGAAAAATATCACAAGTAGTTCTCGGTGAGCAACAGTGCACGACCAATGCAATAAAAACACTCTAAAAAAAGTTTTACTTGTTGTTTTTAAAATAAGATATTAGATTAAGAAAAACTAGTAATTATTAGTAATCCATTTAGTCAGAATAGCAAGTAAATGACTATCATGGTTAGTAATTGTAAACATAATTAGTAATAAGGATGAATTCATTTACTTATAACATGATTTACTAAGTATCAATAGAATTACTTAAATTATAGGAATTGTATTACTTAAAGTTAGTAAATGAACTATATCATTTTTGTTAAATTATTATTACTTAATTTAGAGATAATATGCTTTCTATTTACTAAATTTTATGAATTATTACTAAGTAAATGTAATTCTGAAATTAATTAAAATCTAGAATATTATTACTCAAAAGAATCTAAGTAAATGAAATACTTATCATATTTACTAAAATGACTAATGCTTTTAATTTACAATGTCAATATGAGCATACATAGATATCATGAATTGTTTAACATGACTAGTGCACTAAATGACATATCTATAGTTTATAGAAGAAATCTATCATGATGGAAACAATTATACTTTCTATTTCTTTTGCCAATTTCTTTAATTGTTTTAATATATAACAATAAAACATTTGATTACAAATGGTTTGAAACTTTAAAAATTGAAGAAAAGGTATCTTTTTAAGGAGCTGCATTTTAAAAATGGTTAAACATTTATAAATATCGAAAAGGGAATATTTAGAAGAAAGATAGACTCCTCCTCACAGACAATTTCTTAGAAATAGCCACGATATGATTATTAATGTTTTTTACTTTTCCCAAATTTTTGTTTTAAGCCCAATCAATTGAAATACAATTTACACTGGAAATTATCATTTACAAAGTCACACTATTCCTCAAGTGTATATAAATATAGAAGATCTATAAACTTACGACAAACTGCATAAACAATCTAGATTGACATATTTCACGACGTCATGTCCCTCCTTCAGAACAATAAGAGACCTTGCGTAGACATCATAGATAAGCGAAAAAAAGTTAAAAACAAAAATGAAAAAAACGTTGATCGATTTTTTAAATATAATTGTTTTCGTATCAGAGAAATAGAGTCTCAGACGTCACAATTAAAAGCCTGCCAGTGGGTCTCCTGTCGTACGATAGTCGGTCTTAAGCGATGTATTCAGTTGACGTTTATTTTTGTTTGTTCCTCCTTTGTTAAACTTTAAAGAAATTAATCACTCATGCTAAATACAAATATATTGTAAGGGAAGTGATTCGTCTTTCAAAATGATTACATATATGAAATGAAAGCATATATCAAAGTTCATACGTTATTTCAAGGTTAAATTTTTTTTACAGGTCGAAATGAAGTGTATATTGGCTTAGTTTGACATTGTTATGCGGAATTTACTTAGATGTTTATAATATGGTACAATCCCGCACTGGTATTTACTGTTCAAAGGATTTGGATAAAGAATAAGTTTGGATTTTTTGTGTATAAGTTCAAATTAAGGTCAAGGTCAAATTTTTTGATACTCAAAGAAAGGTTTGTCACAAGGAATACACGTGTGAAATATGTAAGTCATAGCTCGCTAAATTAATTATGGGCAAGGTTAAAGTTTCTGTGGATAAACAGACAAACAGAGAGATAGCTAGCAATAACAGACACAATTATACGCAAAATTTTGTTTACGGGGGCATTAAAATATTAATTATATAGTAAAAGTGTAAAATGTAAGTAAAGTAATGTTATTACTTATATACACAAATTTAAGTAAATATAAATTACTATAAAACTTTTTAGTGTGTAGTAAAACAATTCTTTAAAATACAAAAATCAAGTAAAACATTTGAATCTAAATTGACATATATTTCAGTAATTGATTTAAAATTTTAAGTAAATGCTCAAGTGTTTCAAAGTTGTTTTTAATATTCTCCCAAGCAAAAAATAAAAAAGAAAACTTTCTTAACATATCTAAAAAAAGATAAATAAATAAATACAGTATATATTCTAGCCCTAAAAGAAAATAAAGTCGAAATTCAAATTTATATAACTTCTGAAATATGTTTGAAAATAAAGCTTTTTATCAATATCTTTATCATATGATGCTAGAGGAATAAAATGCAAACTTGCAACATTATAAATAAATCCAGTAGATCCTCAATCTGAATATTGACTTAAATCTCCTCTGATTAGGGGCCTGGAGCAAGGTCCTGATACATGCATCAAGAAACGCCTTGAGCTCAAGTGAAAATTTCTGTTTCTGTGTTACAAACTCAAGAGTTTATTTTGCTCATGAATGAAACATGGAGATAACGAACAGTATTTAAGATCAAAAGTCCATAAAACATTACAAAATAGAAGCAGTGCAAACAAGGAGCTCCAAAACACAGAGGTCAGAATATCATTTGTCTCTGGAACAACAGAAATATCTCTATTATGCATTCATCATATTTTTTTCACTTTTCCCAAGGCCTTGATGATGCCCAAGAATTGAAATTTATTTACACTGGAAATTATCATTTACAAAGTCACACTATTCCTCAAGTGTATATAAAATAAACTCTCTTAGGTCACTTAAATCATTTTTAATCTTTTTTTTCACATTTTCGTCTAAGTTTGAAATTAAATAGTATATTATATAGTATTTAATTAATATATTGTTTATGAAAAAGGGCAATCCAAATTTGTGAATTTCATAATCCCTTCTATCGAGGGGCTTGAGAAATGTACCCAAAAGCAAAACCAAAATATTTTTGTTGCATTCTTTAAAAAAAAATCAATTCTCTAAACATATTGCAAGGGAACTTTGATATGATTATTAAAAAGAAAATAACTTTATCAAAAATATTTTCTTTGATTACATAATTTTCATATGTGTATATTACCTCTTATTGTTACTTTATTAGATTTATTTTACCTGCAGTTGACATTATAAACATAATTTCATGCAATGATAAATTCGGTTATTGCTAAAACATCTGATATAAAAAGTTTTGTAAAATGTAATCATTTTATTCATATAAGGAAGTACAAAACATCATCAAGTGTTTCAAAGTTGTTTTTTAGCTTCTCCTGAGCAAAAAATCAAAAAGAAAACTTTCTCATATCTAATAAATAAATCTAAATACAGTATATATTCTAGTCCTAAACTTTTCACATTTTCAAATTTATATAACTTCTGAATTTTGACAAAAAAAACTTTTTATCAAATCTTTATCATATGATGTAAGGAAAATTTAATTTTAAAATGAAATCTCTCACAAGGAATATTGAGATAAATCACTTGAAAAAACAAGGTTGTAATTTTTTTTTCTCCTCAAGAAAATTTCTGTTTCTGTGTTTGAAACTTATATGGAATATTATATAGGTATTTAATTAATATAATTGTTTACAAAAGAAGCAGGCAATCACATAGAAATATATAGTCTTTGAATCTTCTTCTATTTTTAGAACCCTGAGCCAGAAAAGATGAAACTTATGTGGACGCATCCTGGAATAGTGCAGATTCTAGATTGTTCAAATCATGACCCGGGGGGTACCCACAAGGGGAAAAAGTTTTACAAGAATATATGAAAAATATTTGCAATTTACTTTTTGATCAACAAAAAAAAAACATGGGAAGCATCCTATTCAAGTGTATCAAGCAATTCACACTCTAGTTTTGGTTGTTATATGATTATTTTTTATAAACAATATAGCTTTTTTTTTTCAAATCCTTTCCAAAAATTATGATAGATATTATATAGTAAAATATATTGTTTAGTGCAGATTCTAAATTCTTAAATTTCATGACCCCAAGGGTAGGGCGGGTTAAAACCAAAATATGTTTTTAAAAAAAAATATATAAAAAATCTTTGAAAATCTTCTAGCTTTAATAACCACTGGGCCAGTAACCTGAAACTTTGTTACAA